CCTGAGGGGTAAGGGCTTGGTTTGTAGGAAAATGGCTGCACCTTGAGGAGGAAGAACCCGGAGCTCATACCATTTTATTTTTTGGTACTGGGGTTCAAACTCGAGTCCTTGCACTTTCGAGGCAGGTGGTGGGACCACTGAGCTAAATCCCTGGCCCCCACTTCTTTTTATCTTTTGGTACTGGGGATCAAAGTCGGGTCCTTGTACTTGCGGGGCAGGCACAGGCCCCACTTCTTAATATTGAGGATGGACAGGTCTGACCCTAGAGTATGAAGTGAAGTGCTCAGTGGCTGGGCTGGGACCAGAGCCATGAGCGTCCTGATCCACTAGGAAAGCTTAAATTCCATCCTCAAATGGACTGGGCCATTTTCAAGTACTTAACTGAGCTCCAGAACAAAGCTGAAAATATTTAACAAGACATATTACAACAAATGTCTGAGTCACTTTCCTGTCCCTGGGACATACTACCTGATCCCCACAGTTTAGAAGAGCGGAGCTGTATTGGACTCAACTCACAGTTTCAGTGGGTTCAGTCCATGGTTGGCTGCGGAAGGCCCAGTGAAGGAAAGCTGCTCACATCATGGTGGCCAGGAAGCAGAAAAGGAGAAAAAGAGGCAGGGGCAAGAACACACCCTTCTCGCCTGTGCCCCCAGTGACCTGCCTCTTCCAACCAGGCCCCATCTCAGACACATGAGACTTTCAGGGGGCATTTTGGTTCTAACCCATAACGGGCAGGTGTAGAAATTCAGCAAGGACACTTGTTCCTAGTCACTCGGGGGAGGTGCCCAGCGTGGGCTACCACGTCCAGTGGCTTAGGTTGGTCATTGCGTGGAGCCATATCCATCCAGGGGAGGGGGTGCCCTTTTGTCACATCAAGCTGCCATCCGCTTCTCAGTTCAAGCTTTCACGGCCCTGAACACCCAAGGGAGAGCTTTTCCCTAATCCAGCCCACCAGAGGGGGACCTTGTTTCAGTTTGCGTCAGAGAATAAGGGCGGCTGGAGCTAAGCTTGACAGTCAGGAAAGTGTGAAGTTGCCTTTGGTCTTCAGTGGAGGGTTAGTGTCTGAAGGACATGCTCTGGCTACCAGGACAGGAGCCAGGACACCAGCTACTGGGTGAGTGATTAGCCCCGAGTAACTCCGTCTGCACAGGGAGTTCCGTTTGCCACACGAGGGGGAGGAAGGGATGATGCTCTTAGGTTTTGCATATTTAGGGAAGAACCTGGCTGCACTAAGCATCTGTGCAGGACGGGTGACACCGTGTCCTGTAGGGTGACCCACCCTGGCTCTTGCAAGCCTGTGCTGCTAAGCAGCCTGACTCCACACAGACCAGCCGTCCAGTGATGGCTCCCTGTGGCCTCCTCCACCCGGATGTGACCAGGAAGCGCTCTGCCCCCGCGGGCCCTGGCTCAGCAAAGGTGGAAACACAGACACGTGATGGCGCGCGTTCAGGACAGTGCAGATGACTGATGGGCCAGGTGACTGGGCAGGGCAGGGCCGGCTGGGCAGGGCAGGGGAGCCCTGAAAAGCAGCTTCAGAATCAAGTCCCTCCAAACTTCCAGAGAGCCTATGGGACCATGCAAGGTCCTGCTGATCATTTCGACCCTCAGGGTTGCCTGCAGCTCTCCCCCTGGCGGGGACAGAGGGCATGGAAGCTTCTGCTCGTGCTGGCCGGCAGGCGCTGGCCCTGTGGCTGTCACTGCGCAGAAGCAGCTAGTGTCTTTCCTCCGATTAATGTCTGTCAGTTTCTTCCTGAGAACCTTCGGAGGGCAGAGGGGAAATTGCTGTTCCTCTCACAGCCTGACCCTTCTCCAAGGACACAGTGGTGAGGCCTTTCTGAGTGGCAGAAGCCACTGTGTCCTGTGAACGTGCACTGATAAAAAACCCAAAACATGAAAGTGACTCACAGCAGCCAGAGCCAAAGGGCACCAGAGACACCCATGTAGCTCATTCCAATTTCTGCAAACAAAACCAAGTTTAGAGCAGGGGGAAAATGAAAACCTGGCTTCTGTGTCTGAGAGATAAGGCGGGAGTTTGAGGTTTTGAAAAGCTGGGGATTAGGCTTTACTCTTCTGGTCTCCAAACCTTCAAAGCTTGGACAATCCAGGAAAATTCCCTGCTTCCCTTTTTCCTCCCTCCCTTCCTCTTCCCTCCTCCTCCGCCCTTTCTCTCTTTCCCTCCTTCATTTTTTCTTTTGGTCAAGTTGTCTGAATCACATCTCCCTCCACAGGCAGTAATCAGGGCTCCCAGATATGGCAACTCACTGCTATTGTTTTCCTCTTGCTCAGAAAAAGGCCAAAATGAGACTCTCACGTTATCAGTGGGAAATGCTCTATTGCCCTAAAAATGCCCTAAAGCTGACCTTTCACCAAAGAGAGCATGAAATGCAAGAGGGGAGAACAGGACATTTGCAGAAGAGCAGGCTCGCTTTGGCCCACTTGGTTAGCCGGCGGGGCGGGGGGCTTGGGTGTCCAGGACCCCATGTCCACGAGGACGCGAGGCTGCAGGCCTGGGGCCACAGACACGCCCTACGCTCCCCGTCCAGCTTGGCTGTGGCTTTCAGGTGTTTTCATCTCCACCTGATGTAAATGTGCACGTGTTCGTGTCCTCTAACAATTCAAAGACCAAGCATTACGTTGATTTAGCAAGTATTTCTGAATCACGGATCTGTTTGCAGCTGCAGCCACCTGGATTGAGGAGTGAGCCTGGCATCTGGGAAGCACCTCCTGGCTAGCACACCTTCTTCCCAGGACGCCAGGCCCAGCTGTATCCAGTGACCTCCTCTGCGTCCTCTGCTTCCCCACCAGGGCCCCGAGGCACGGACTCCCAATCAGCACGTGCTTCCTGCAGCGCAGACCACAGCTCCAAGCCTCAATGTTTGCCAGCTGAAACTGGGGAGAAATCACCTTTTTCTTTCTTTCCCAAATGATGCCCCCCCCTCCCGCCAGGTGGTGGGTGTCAGACCAGAGGGTGAGAGTAGTTTTTGCCCTTCCAGAGACGGGGACATGCAGAGAGACGGACGGACCCTGAGTGAGCCTTCCATGGGTTAGCAGGCTTGGCACGCAGGGCTGGTCACACCCTAGATGGTTTCTGCTTGAAATGGGGCTGAGCTGGGACTGGTCCACGGAGAGGGAGGGATGGGCCCCTGCGACCTTAGGCCACTTGTCCCTCATGCACAGGTGGCTCCGAGGGGTGCCCCCACCTGCCGCTGACCACCTCTCCACTGGGCTCCCCTGACAGCAACAAAACCCAGCTCCTGCTGTCTTTAGATCTGCAAAACTATGGAGAGTGACCAGGGTTCCCACAGGGCCTCTCAGAATGACAGTTCTCCTGTTACAGTTGTTCATTTTTAAAAGCTGGAATTCCCACTGGTTTTATTTCATTTTCAGTAGTGCATGCTCACAGCACTTGATGGTCCCATGTATCCCGGGGAGCTGGCGCCGGGACAGGACACGTCTTAGCTCTTTTGTCATCCCCTGCCACCCTCTCCATTTCTGGGTCTCCTGAGCACAGCATTTCATCCTGAAAGTTTCCTCCCTGGCGAAGGGCAGAAACCACTCAGCCGCTCAGTGAGGCAGAGCTAACAGATTCCAGAGAGAAGCCCATGGCTACAGCTCAGGCACACACCCCGGCCGGGGAGACGGGTGGATCTTTGCCGATGGAGCACCCACGGAGGCATCGTATTATTTTCTGACAACGAACACTTTGTGGAGAGCCATTTTTAATAAGAGACTATGAGGACTAACCCGGGGAAGCAGAATCAATTCCCGCAGTCCCTGGGATTTCGCCAGCTTTCTCTGAGAGCTGCTGGGACTTGATTTCTTCTGCACTTACATTTTGCAGGAGTGAGTGTGTGTGCACATGTGTGCGTGTGTGCGTGTGTCCTGGTTCTCTAGCGCTGGCTGTGGGACTTTGTTAATCAAATGAGTTGCAGCCCAGCAGAGCGGCCTTGCTTCGCACTCAAGGGTTCCTTTTGGTTTTTTTCCCCCCTGCACTTAAAGTTTAGTTCTTTCCCCCTTAATCCTGTGAAATATCGGGTGTCCGAAAGGAACTGACACCCACGTGGCTTTCCCCGGACACCCAGCCCGTGCTAACTTCCAGAGCTGGTTTGAGGCAGGCACCAGGACAGGTGACCTGGGGGATTATCCAAAGCTGCAGGGGCTCCACCTCCTTGGTGTGTGTGTGTGTTTGTGCGTGCGCGCGCGTGCAGGGCGTGGGCGTGGGAGTGGGGCTGTGAGAATGTGTGGCTTGTGTGAAGATGTATTTGTATGTGTGTGGGTGTTTGTGTATGAGTGTGTTTTTGAGGACGAATGTGTGTGCCTGTGGGTCTGTGTGTGTTCATCTGTGATTGCCTGTGTGCATCTGTGTAAGACTGAATGTGCATGTCTGCTGCATGTACACGTCATATTTGGATGTTTGTGTGAATGTGTTCGTGACTCCAAGTGTGTGATGGGTGCATGTGTGAGTGGCAGCCAGCAGCTCAGCGCATACCTGTGTGTAGCTGCCTGTGTGTGTCTTTGTGACTATTTTTGTGAGCAGACTGTACGCTGTGTGTGAATGTGCATTTGCGTATATGTGTGTGGCTGGATTTATTTCTTTTGCAGTACTGGGGATTGAACCCACAGCCTTCTCACAGAGCTGCGTCCCCAGCTCTTTCGTTTTGGTTTTTTTTTGAAGTTGCTCAATTGCCCAGGCTGGACTCCAGCTTGCATCCTCCTGCCTCAGTTTCCCAGAGTGCAAGGATTGCAGGCGTGTGCCCCACGCCCGGCTCCTGCGTGTTCTTATTTGTGTGTGAGCCCTGCATGCATGTATATCTGTGCCTATGCACATTGTGCATGCCTGGGAGCAGAAGCGTATGCTTTGTGCTTGTGTGTGTGCGGGTTTGTGTGACTGCCTGGCTCTGGGTGGCGTGTTGTTCGCGTGTGCGCCGTGCGTGCGCCCCGGCCGCGTGTGTCCGTGCGCGGGCTGTGTGCCCCGGCGGTGCGTGTGAGCGCGGGGCGTCCCCACCTCCTCCCGCGGGCGTGGGCTCTGCCCGATTACGGCTCGGCGCCCACGTGACGCGCCGCCTGCTGTCTCCGCGCGCGTGGCCGGAGGACAGCGCTGTGCGGCCGCGGCTCGCCGGGCGCCTGGGGCGGGGACGTGGCCGGGCAGGGAGGCTCGGGGTCCGGATCCCGGCCGGCGGGCACGGATGGGCGCGAGGCTCCAGCCATGCAGAAGAGCGTGCGCTACAACGAGGGCCACGCGCTGCACCTGGCCGGGCTGGCGCGCAGGGAGGGCACGAAGCGCGGCTTCCTGAGCAGGCGCGCGGCCGAGGCGAGCCGCTGGCACGAGAAGTGGTTCGCTCTCTACCAGAATGTGCTCTTCTACTTCGAGGGCGAGCAGAGCGGCCGCCCCGCTGGCGTCTACCTGCTGGAGGGCTGCAGCTGCGAGCGCGCGCCTGCGCCCCCCAGGGCCACCGCGGGCGCCGGCTCCGCCCGCGACGCGCTGGACAAGCAGGTACGGGGGACTGGGAGCGGGGGGCGCGCCCGGGGAGACCTCGCCGCTCGCTCCGCGGGGCTGGGGGCGGGACCCGGGGCGGGTCTCGTCCTTCCAGTTTCTCCACTTGGCGGTGTCTCCCAGGCCTCGCTCGCAGGGAGGGCCCGAGTGTGGCGACGGTGGACACCTGTGGGACGTAGAGCCGAGAGACCCGAGTAACTTACTGGGAAAAGTTGGGCTTTGCCAGAGCCCGGCGCGCGCAGGTGTCCTTACTTAGGGGAGACGCCGCGCGGGTCACCGCATCCCATCCTTTCCCTCGCTGACGCTCGACCCTGAGGCCAGCCGGGAAGGCGAGGGATGGGATCCACCGTGCTCAGGGTGCAGGTTGGGCTCCCGGTTCCCCATAGGTTTAAAGGTGCGGGCATCCGTCGCTTCCGGGTGTTTGTGTTAAAGACTGCTTTGGACACCAGCAAGCCCTTTCAGCTCTGGGTCATGATTTTGTTTTGCTGTGTGCTCACGGCGGGGGGCCTCAGGTTCAGCAGCCTCTACCCCCCATTCTTGCAAGAACCAACTTTGTTTTTTTCTTCCAATCACCATTTGGTTTTTAAGTTAAAGCAGACTAATTTTATGCTTCCAAATGTTCTGTGCTTCTAGATCCCAATCTTGCGGGGGGGGGGCGGTGTCCATCTTTGCTGTTGCATAAAAATATTTTGCAGCTGAGTTTTCCCTTCAAGTCAGATCAAACTGCATCTTTTGCAAACCACCGAGGCCGTGGGAAGCGCTGGTAATGGGAGAACCCCGGGCCTGACCTCTCTCAGACTCTTAAACTCGTAAAGTTAGGAGCACTTAAACTCAGATCAACCGGAAGTCTGATTGCTTCTTCACTTTGCTTTCACTATAAATCATTAACCATCTTCACTGACTAAACGTTACAACACCTCATAGGTCTGAAATTTTTAAAAAGTCCTTTGGGTTTGAGGGAATGTTTAGTCCCTGGAAAAACTGATTTCCAACTTAGTAGATACGGATACTAGAAACAGAAACAAATTCTAAGTTGTGCATTTTACAGTTTAAATTGGGAGAAGAGTTTAGAGGAAACAGATTTTTTTTCAGGATGTGTACATCTCTCTCTCTCTCTCTCTCTCTTTTTTTTTTTGGTACCAGGGATTGAACTTGGGACCTTGAGCTTTCAAGGCAGGCAGCAGAACCACTGAGCTAATACATCTCTTTTTTCTATTTAGATTAAAAAAAATAAGAGTTATGTATGCCAAGGTTCCACAGGATCCAAAACAAATAGGGTTTTAAGTATTGTAATGTCTAAAATAAAATGGGGCATTTTAAATTATTCTGAATGTATATAATTGGTTTCATTCTAAATTATTTATTTTCTTGTATGTGTTACTAATATGCATGACCAACCTGTTTTCTCCTGTTTGAGCTGAGTGTGGACTGTTGCTTGCTTGTTACGACCTACATGGCTGGCTGAGCTGTCAGCACTGCAGCACATCTCTCCTGGAAAGTATCCAGGCTGTCGTCTTCAGGAAGAGCTCTGTAAACCAGACTTTAGTAGGCAAATTCAATTGCCCAGTAGCCCAACTTTCCTGCCTCTTTCTAGCAGGTGTCCTGACCTGGCTAGCGGCCAGTGTCTTTCTCTGTTTATGATTGTATAAATTGAGTATTTTTTAATCGTTGTATGCATGTTTAAGAGGTTAGAAATCAGAACGTTAGGGTCTGCAGATAAAGCAAGCTTTTCAGAGAGGATGAGAAGCCAGGCAGGGCACCCTCAGTGCTGTCAGGCTCGGATCTGGCCCCGAGACTCGAGCTAGCACCGTGTCTAATGCTTTTCCGGATGCTGCCTGTCTGGGTGTGTGAAGGATCCTAAGACAACACTGCAGATGAGAAGTGAGGAGAAGCCTGGTGTCCTGGGTGTGCGGCTTAGGAGTTAATTGTGCTGCTGTTGCTCCCAGATGGTCACATACACCATGGGCAGCGGGGCGGGCGACAGGCGTCCATGTGTGCATCGCCACACGTGTGTCCCCGACTCCTCACACAGCTGTAGGCCCGGGCTGGCTTGGACTGGACCTGAGCGGCTTGGTGCCATCTGCCACATTCCCAGTGCTTCTCAGGAGGATCTCTCCATGTTTCCTCTTTCTGTGTTGTTCCTGAAATCTCTCTTCGTGGTGTGCAGAACTCCAACGTCCGGATGAGATGACTTCCAAGCTGCCTTGCAGTGTTCTCTTTTCCGGGTTCTGACAGTGCGAGCTTTCTGCAGTGAAAGGCAGTTTCACAGGAGTCAAAGACTGCTGGGATCAGGGCTAAGTAGTGCAGCCGGGAAGCCGAGGACAGCGAGGTGACAGGGAACGTTCCGTAACCGGCCAGGTTGCTAGAGGCACAAACCTATGCGAATGTCTCAGAGACAGAGACCGTGTCATTCCCACCGCGAGGAGACAGCTCGCAGTGCCATTCACTGACACCGCTGACGTCCTTCTTGCTGTTGTGGGCTCTCATCCTTCCCGGAGTTGGAATTCTACCTCCCCTCCCGGTAGTTTCTTAATTCACATTAACTGTGATTTAAAGTAAGTTACAGTAGGAAGAAAACCTCCGTTGGTTTGCTTCACTGAAATAATCATTCAAAACCGGGTGGCTGCCAAAAAAAAAAACAAGGAAAATTCAGTTGTTTTTAGTCCTTTGTCTTAGACTGGTTCCACTTAAGTGGAGAAAAAGAAAAGGGTTTTCATTGTCCAAGTACGGCTGAGCCAAGGATTGTTTGCCGCCTTGCCCCCTTGTTTCCTGGGTCCCAGGCCTGCACGCTGGCTACCGCCTTCCACAGGGGTGGAGTGTTCGGGTACTAATGGCGATATAATCCTAATCAGTTCAGGTCCAGAGATGTTTTCAGGTTCCCTTTCTCTAACAGGGGTTGCTTTCTTTCTGCCTTATTAGCAGCGCTCGCAGGCCTCTGATGTTTCTCCTCTTGAAACTGTGTCCAGGTGGCTCTTCTCCGACGTGCTGCATGTGTGGAGGGAGGTCCCTCGGCCCCTCGGTGCCAGGCGCAGGTGTCTGAGAGAACGGAGTGTGGGGCACAGCTCCCGGGACCTGGGCAGCCCGGTTCGGTCCGGCACAGGGAGGGCTGAGGCTGGTCTGTGCCTTCAGGGTGCGCCTGGGGTTTGCCCTCCACCCAGCCCCTCACCGGACTGCACCCCACTCTTGGAGCTGAGTATCACCGTCTGCATGGTCACCTTCGTGGAGGGCGAGTCGGGCATCGGATAGGAGACTGCTCTGCTCAGGGGTGGTTTGCTGAGCAGACTAAACCCACTGAGCTTCAAGCATGGAAAATCTGGAATGTGGTGGGAGTTGGGGTGTAGTGTGTGAATCTCCGCTCTGTTTATTCTTATTTCCCTTTAAAACGATGTAAATGGCCATTGTTAATTCTTGAGAAATGTGACTACAGACCATTACATAGTCAAAGAAAAATGGATTTATTTTGAAACAAACAATTTTACATGTCATTCCTTTGCTCCAGTGAGGAACTTTGTAAGCATTTGCCATTTAGGGTGGAAGTCCACATACCAGTTAGTCTGACCTGTTTAAGTAACTGCATCTGTATTGCTGCTAGCAGGAGTGATGTGGAGCCCAGAAACACATCTTTGTTTGTTTGTCTGTTTGGCTTTTTGGTTTTTTGAGACAGGGTCTCAGCATGTAGTCCAGGCTGGGCTTGAACTCACAGTGTAGCCAGTGCTGGCCTCGAACTTGCAGCGATCCTCCTGCTTTGGCCTCTCTGGTGCTGGGATTACAGGAGTGGACTCTAAGAAAGCCTTGTTATTCTTCCTTTCCTGGGAATGAGAAGTAACCTCTCTGGCGTGGTCTCCATGTTGTCTGGAGAAGGAGGTACTGCAGGTGCTTGTCAGATTTCTGATGAATTAAACACGTCCTGTTCACTTTAAAGGGACTGAGCCTGTGACTCCCTGAACCCTCCTTACTAGACAGTCTCCTTCGCTTCCCTAACTGGCCCCGAGGACAGGACTGCAATCATTGCATGGAATTAGAGCCCCACGAAAGCTCTGCGACCTTCACAGGCATGGAGAGGGTGAAGCTGGCTTTTCAGTCTGTTCCTTTTGTTGATTGCATAATAACCAGTTCCGAATTTTCTGTCTTGCAACAAAAAGGAAAGATGGAATAAAGATATTTGCTAATCTTGTAAAATATTTGAAAATGCTATCTGAGGAACAGAAATAATTTATTACTTGAGTTTTGTGATTGTTACATGAGCTTTGTGACTGTCACGGATTAGCAAAATTTAGTTTCTAGTTTTGACTACACTAAACCCTGCTGTTTAGATTATTGTGTATATTGTTAAGAATTCAACAAAGCGAAATCCATCTTTGGTACGATGGGTGTACATAAATGCATTTTTGTGGTTATTATTAGGTGCCAATTAATTGTACTATTAGTGGTAGAAAATATCTTGTGATATTTTTTTCTCTTTTGGAATTCAGAAAATAGAGATATTTCCTTTCACTGGGTGATAAGACCTTCAAGTGTGTGTGATAGCCAAATGCTTCTGCTTTTAGCAAGCAAATGTTCGTCATTTGTTAAAACAATTATTGTGTTGTTGCCTTTAAGTTGATTTTGTCCATGTTGTCCAATACTACTTAAATGCGCCTGCTCTAACTGTAATTTTAACTTCGTAGAAGAGAAAAACGTAGTCTTTAAGGTTATTTTGTAATAAGTCAGATTCACAGCCTGGATGTGGTCAGGTCATACATCCTCATCTTCACAATTTCAGGTGGATTTGTGGCTCTGCCTGCTCATTTACCCTGTGAGAAGGGTGCGTGTGTGGCATGCCTTCGAGCCTGTTACCTCCGACCCTGAAGAGTGACATTCACGGTGTCGTTACACGTGGGGGTGCTGTGCACATCTTTATTTGCGCCCTTGACATTTGGAGATATGCCTGCAGCTTGGGCAGCTCGGTTTGAGGGCTGGGGTGGCTAATGATTCTGATGTATAGATCACAGCGTCACCTC